TTTTATTTTGACTCCCTTCTCGTGATCCTTTAAATACTTTTACAACAATCTTTTCTCTCTTACCACCATTCTTAACCTCCATCTATTCAATCCAGACGTCTTACTTACTTCGTCTTTCCACTTTGCCCTTGCGGAAACCCAATCACGACCAACTCTTTTCCACATCGCCGAAACAGAATTAGCATGGCCGTGCACGCCAGCTAGCCTATTAGCCGCGCACGCTAGCCAGCCCATTGTCCCATTGTGGTGCCGCTCCTGCTTTACATAACTGAAATCAATTCTCCGTCATTTAAAAAGAGCCAGAAGATTGAGTGTTGTGGAGGGGCAGTTAATTTGTGTCCCGAGCAGCACAGGAAGTGGAGATGAAAGCGGCAGTCATTATTGGCGAGCCTTTTGAGGAGCTTGTTTATTTGCATACAGAGCGCTCCAGTGTGATTTGATCTGAAGTGGGCTCTGGAGATGCAATAGCGAAGCGTGCTAAATAATAAGAGTTAGCTTTAGCACTACACGCCGCGCATAAAAACATCAAAAGTTACAATCACGTTCGCGAGTCTCCTGAGAGATTGACGCAAAAGGGAGTGTCTCGTTGAAAGTGGATTGTGTAACTTTTCTGGTGGAGGGTCCGTCTAATGATTTTCTCCGTGGAGATGTGCTTTGTCTGGAATGTTTCACTGCATGGGCATTAAACCTTTCTATCTTCATGTAGATGAAGTTACAGGTCAGGTCTGTGGAGAGGCAATCCCGCTCACAGTCAGATTGTCTGTTTTTCAAGGTATTTTTGAGCTATAAAACCACCTGTAATTGAATAAATGTAAAGTAGAGCTGTTTAATGTCACATTTGCCACATTTATATGAGACCTATAATTCCGAATAAACATGATTTAATTAATTCCACTTAGGGATGGGCATTCGATTAAATTTTCTTAATCGATTGTCGGGAGAATTAACGATTGATTATTGATTAATCATTAACGTTTTTATATTAAAATGATCATCATTATTATTACTATCTGCACTACTAATCTGTATGAATAAATTCAACTTTACGACATATAAACCATAACCACTCTAGAGCCACATCAATCCGTTTGACATTATGTGTTTAATGCGCAACTCTCACAGAAATGAAACTTAAAACAAACATGGCAACATGGCAAATTTGCATAAACTAAGCGAAGAAAAAAAACAGCTCTTGTGTCGCTGATGCGGTTCAACTTCTGTCAGATTAAAGGACGCGACTCAGTGAAATACAGGTTAGTGTGACTATATTTGCGTTTGTCAAAACCAGGACACCGTACGGGGGGAGGGAGGTGGGGACTCGTCATCGACATTGCGCGACTCTCACCTGGTAAATATTTTTCCCACTGGACACCGAAACATATGTGCTGCTTTGTACACTGTGCACATGGACTCACACTTGTCCCGACCGGAATGGAAAGTGTGGAATTTCTTGTACAAATCATCGTTAAATACACATTTGCTCTTTGGCACGTTGCAGACTGACCGACTGTTTGTGTCTCGCTCCTTCTGAGTGCAGAGACACATGTACAGACCCTGTTTGGTCACGCGACGCACAGCAACCTACATTCGGTTTGTCGATTAAAATGAACATAATCGATGAAATTCTGAATGATCAATTATCAATTAATCGACTAATCATGCCCATCCCTAATTCCACTTTAAAAAGACCATGTAAACACTTCCTAATGAAAATGAAAAGTAGATGAGTGGTTTATTCTAGTCAGGCTGGCGTCACCTTGTGCCTCCGCTCAATTTCATTTCTCTCCAGCAACTAGGTCAGGAATCGGAATACATTAGACGGTTTACAAGAACACCGGAAGTGCAAGTTCGGGCACCAGCCAATCAGCGAAGAGCCATACATTCTGTGTTGGCAACGATTCTCGAGATCGAGGATTTAAAGCCGGAGCAAAGAGAATGTTTGGTGAATTTTATCATCTTCCTACGGGATTTGGGAAAAGCTTAATATACCAGTTAGCCCCATTAGCGGCGCATTACATACGTCACGACCAAATAGCACAGCGACTGGTTAAAAAATAATACCCGCCTACCGTCATAGAGCTGTTTAATGTTGCACTGTGGAACATTCCAGACAGAGCAAAGACATATCCATAGAAACAAGCAGGTGATGGTCCCCCAACCAAAAAGTTACAGAGTCCTTTCTATCTAAATTATGTATTGAAGTAAGGCTGTGCAATTATGTGTGTCAGATAATGTCCAAACTCATGTAATCGAGTTGAAACAATTTAAAGCTTATAAGTATATTTATTTTACTTTTTAAATGTAGAGATTGTAGAACAGCTGGATATATAGTTTATTTTGGATACATTTATGTTTTTCTATGCTTTATTTCATGTTAAAAGTATATTTTATTCATTTGATGTTTTATACATCGCAAAACTGCTCTAAGGTTCATATATGTAACTTATATTTATTTTCAGTTTGAAATTTTTGCATAAATGATCAATAACAAAGTGTTTTTTTGAGAGAGAAATGCTGAATTAAATGCACCGTGTAGCTAAAAAATAATCGTTTGAATAATTGTGAGTTTAATATTGACCAAAATAATCGTGATGATTTTTTCGATAATTGAGCAGCTTTATACTGAAGTCATTTTAATGGGTCGCTATTTTCTGATCTATGTTTTAATGTAGTTTCCTCATCACACGAACAGACCTGAAGTTGTGTTTTGTTTCATTCTCACATGTTTAACACACAAACCCTGCAGATATAATATATAGATATAGTATAGAAAACACTCTGTTCCACCTTGTGATGTCATGTGGTAATATAAGACTGCTTACACCTTCCCTAGAATTATTTTGATAATTTCAGCCCTGGAATTGCCAATCTCTACTGAAATAAAAGTAAAAAAGCTGTTCACTTGCAAACTACCTCTTCATGACATCACAAAGTGGAGCAGAACGTTTTGAGCCTTGGAGATATAGACAGACTCATAATAAAGGATTACTCAAACATGTGTGAATGAAACAAAACACAACTCCGGGTCTGTTTTTGAGGCGGTAACAACATTATAACATGGTTTAAATCTCACAAGAGTTCATTTTGCATCATATAGAACCTTTGTATTTATTTTGCATATAGAAAAGTGCATACATCAGTAAAACATAGGTTCCTTTAAGTAGCAGTTCAGAGTTGTGTCTTTGTCTTATTGTTTTTGTCTCGAGGTCTGTTCAAAAGTCCAAACGTCTGCTTCCTGTCATTGTGCGCGAGTTCAATTCCTCCAGAGCAGGACATGGTCGTGGATATGGCTCTCCACAGACCGGATGTGGCGCGTCGATGAGTTTGACAAATGTGGCTATTGTGCGAGCCCCTGCCTGCACTTAAGGCATTCTCTCAAATCTCGGGTTGTGATTTTCTTTATAAAATATAGGTTACAATGGACATTTTATTTAAAACGTCAAAAGCCAGACCCATGTTAGACTGATGAGGTTGTTGGTTTGATTCCAGCATCTCACCACTGTGCGTGAGTGAAACAAAACACAACTCCAGGCATGTTTCTGAGGAAGTAACAACATTCTAACATGACTTAAAGTTCACAAGAGTGCATTTTCTGTGATATAGGACCTTTGCCTTTTACATTTTATAATAATAATACGTTTTATTTATAGGCGCCTTTTGAAGCCCTCGAGGTCTCCTTACGGAGTAGATAAAAATCTGTTTAGGTTTTTATTCTTTTTTGTGTGTGTCCTGGAAGTACCTCGGGGTGTGTTCATACTTTCACAAACCAGGACTAAACCAAGACAAAACCAAGACTAGACCACTACTAAACCAGGACTAAACCAAAACTAGACCAGGACTAAGCCACGTCTAGGCCAGGACTAAACCAAGACTAAACCAGGACTAAACCAGATCTAAACCAAGACTAAACCCAGACTAAACCAAGACTAGCCCGGGACTAAACCAGATCTAAACCAAGACTAAACCAAAACTAGACCACTACTAAACCAGGACTAAACCAAAACTAGACCAGGACTAAGCCACGTCTAGACCAGGACTAAACCAAGACTAAACCAGGACTAAACCAGATCTAAACCAAGACTAAACCCAGACTAAACCAAGACTAGCCCGGGACTAAACCAAGACTAAACCAAAACTAGACCAGGACTAAGCCACGTCTAGATCAGGACTAAACCAAGACTAAACCAAGACTAGACCAGGACTAAACCAAGACTAGACCAGGACTTAGCCAGGTCTAACCCAATACTAAACCAAGACTAGACCAGGACTAAACCAGATCTAAACCAAGACTAAACCAAGACTAAATCAAGACTAAACCAAGACTAGACCAGGACTAAACCAGGACTAAACCAAGACTAAATCAAGACTAAACCAAGACTAGACCAGGACTAGACCAGGACTAAACCAAGACTAAACCAGGATTAAACCATGCCTAGACCAGGACTAAACAAAGACCTGACCAAAACTAGACCAGGGCAAAAACAAGACTAAACCAAGATAGACCAGGACTAAACCAAGACTAAGACCAGGACTAAACCAGGTCTAGGACAGCTTGTGAATGTATCCTTTGATGTTGTTTAGTCCTACTTCAGGTCCTAGTTTTCACTTGTACTTTAAAATCTCCTGCTTTATTCACTGTAAAACCGCCCAACTGTTTGAAATCGAACACCACAAGTTGCAGAAACCACACATCCTCAGCCCATTCTCGTGCACATATTTCCTCCTCTCAAATCCTGCAGAACCATAACTTTCGTACAGCATGTGGTTTTTGAAACACTAATTCCCCCAAATGATTCATTTTGTCTTGGCGCTCTGTGTGCAGTCTCTCTTATAAATAGCTGGGTTCTTTCACAGTCGGAGCAGGTGAGCATTCTCTCTGCTTCACTGGGGACTGGTGATGATTCAGACAAATTAGACATGCACCGGGCTGAAGGGGAGATACATCTGGAGCAGGGGAAGCAGACTCATATTTTTTCTTCTTCTGTGTTGTGTGTTTTCAGATAACTCGGCGGACATCTTGTTAAAGCAGGGCCCCTTCAGTTTGGACGACTCCAGGGACTACATCGTGGCGGTGAGAGTGGGAGACGGAGGCAGACCACAGCAGCTCACCAGTGTCACACAAGTGCACATCAAGGTCAGTGCGGGTTATGTTTTTACCTGTATGAGTTTGTGTTTGTAAAGGTGTACTCTGTAACTTTTCTGGTGGAAAGTCCACCCCCAACTTGCCTAATTCATCAGCCGGTTTCACTTCGTGGAAACCGTCTGACCTCGTAACATTAGGATTGGTTCTTTTGACTTTTTTTATTTAACCAATCACTGCTATTTGGTCATGATGTATGTAATGCACCGGAACACTCAGTGTTGTCCAAGTAATTGCTGGCAGAACTGCGAGGTGAACTTGCAAATAAAAGGTGCAATAAAAAATGCGTAGTTTGTATTTGACAAAGGAAGTCCAAAGGAGGACAGTGTATGCGCCAGGAGTCTCCAACCTGTAGCTCTGGAGCTACCAGTAGCTGTCCACCTCCTTCCAAGTAGCTCACCAAGGGATGTCTGAATTATACATATTGCACTGAATAACTCACATTTGATCGATTAAATGCTTATTTCCTTTGTAAATGTATAATTTTGATGTCTAAATTTGTGCACTGACAACTGGATAAAGGGTTATGTTTTATAGACATATAACTCTACCTCATCTTCAGCTTACCATGCCACGTATCCACTGTGTTGTTAAACCGTAGACTGTATATACAGTATGAATGGACAATGTGCCAAAGAAATGAGCCGATCATACATTAGCTGCATCGTTCTATAAGCCACAGCATTCAAAGTGTGAGAAAAAAGTCGTGCTTATAGTCTAGAAATGACAGTAATACAAATAATTCTCTGCTGTATACAAGAGGTCGTAATGGCATCAGTAATCATTCCTTTCACATGTAGTGGGCTTTACCGGCTTGGAAATGCCTTTCACTGCACTGTGATCTTTATTCACTCACTCCACATTGGGTCAAGGTAAATTACTGTAGCCACAGCTGCCCTGGGGCAGACTGACAGAAGCAAGGCTGCCAATCTGCGCCATTGAACCTTCTGACCATCACCTCCACTATGCACACATCAGATTTATACTGGGCAAAGTGTCTTGCCTAAGGACTCAACAACAGAACCTGGTTAAAGTGGGAACTGATCCTCTGACCTTCAGGTTGGTTGGAGACAAGATAAGTTTAATGTCATACAGTGGAATATTCCAGGCTCCATGGAGAGTCAGTGGGGTCCCCTCCACTAGAAAAGTTACCCAATGCCCCTTTAAGTGTTTATGAAAGTCATATCATGTGATTGTGTTCTTTATTTCTCTGATCATGTGTTATCCTCTGTTCCTCAGGCGTGTCACTGTGACCACAGCAGAAAACAGAGTCACTGTAAGGCTGCCGCTCGCAGGATGGGCGTGAGTGTGCAGGCGCTCATCGCCATCCTCCTCTGCATCCTCACCATCCTGGGTACGTCTCACTCTTCTACTTTCTGTGGCTCTTTTATTCACTCGCTGCTTTTGGCTCCAGAGATAAAAGGAGACATAATGATTGCTGTTTAAAATTCACTGGACACATTTGTGCTATTTTCACATTTTGTAAGTAAATATAATGAATGGAGGGAAGATTTGGCAGTTACAAACAGCGTTAACCTAAGAAAAATAATGATTTTTTATGGCACATTTTGTAAATGGACTCTGCACATACACAGTGTAGCAATCACTCAAATACATAAATAGAATATGAAGTAAAGTTAGTGGAGTGTCTTGCCAAAGGACACAACTGAGTGATAGCACAATTTCCACATATCTTTATAAAATCAATATTGCAGTAATGCACAACTTAAGCTTAAAATATTGAACAATTTGGCTACTAAATAAATGCATTTTTGTCTTTAAAGTTGCACTGTGTAACTTTACTGGTGGTGGGTGCACCACATTGATCTGGCTGTCATCAGACTGATCTGTGGAGCCTTATTATACTGATTTGTAACACCTTTTAGAATTTAGAACCTGCATTATGGGCTAGGTTGGGTTGGGTTGGGATTCTTGATGTGCAGACTGGGTGGTATAATTCCCTCATCCTGGTAAAGCATATTGAATCGGAGGAGGTTACGGAAACATGCCCTCTTCGATTCCAGTTGTTTGGAATTCCTTGACACATTGTTGTCCATGACTTGAGCGTAATACTCCAATGATCAGACCAAAGGAACCTCATTGTAGTTGAATATTACACTCAACTACGCTAAGACATGGACAACAATGTGTCATAGAATTCCGAAAAACAGAATTCCGAAAATTAGAACAGCTAGAACCAAATGAACCTTGTTGGACTGATTTGGAACTGCTGATTGGAAAGTGATCAGAACCAGTGAATGGTTTGTTCAAACACATGCTTCATGTTGATCGTTAGGAGCGTCTCAACAGCGGAACAAGCAGAAAAATCACTTTCGTAGGCTCAGTTCACGCTTATGTCACAAACCAGGAAGACATTTGGAAAGATGCGATGACAAGTTCTGGTGTAGTTACCAACACTGAACTCACCGACTGACTGTGATAAAACAGTAAATATGATCAGATGTAAACTGAAGACTGCATATGTATGTGCTGTTTGGAATCATCTTGAATTTGGCGCCTCATCTCTTCTAATCGCATGCACCCAGTGCGGCTCAGAGTTGTGTGTCAGTGGGGAAATGATGAAAACTGAGGTGTGGTTGTAACTGTTGATGAGCTGAACATAACAGAACACCACAATGACATTTAGATGAAGAAAACTGCACCTGGGAAGTTGTAATCACATCTTTCCAAATGTCTTCCTGGTTTGTGACGTAAGCGTGAATAGAACCTGTTAAATCCAGTGGAGAGAAAAGAACATCTTCCCCGTTCACTAATGCACAAAGCTCTTCCCTGTGCACACTTTTCAAAAACAAAATAGTATTTCCTCTAAAACAGGCCGAAGTATGTTTAGATTATCTGGTGTCTCCATGTTTGTTTTGGTTGTTTTGCGCTGGCTTCTCAAAAATCGTGAGAATTCATCTTCATCATCAAGGTTAACGTCACATGAGGTTCTCTGTAATCTTATTGTTGTTTTCCAAGAATATTCTTCAGTAAAAAATGATCCTGAATATCTTCAATTAGCAGTGTTGGGGAGTAACAGATTACATGTACCGGAGTTACATTATCAGAGTACAAATTATGAGTAACTGTATTCGGTTTCAGTTACTGTTTCAGTGAGTGGTAATTGGATTACTGTTACTTTGTTGAAGTAAATGGATTACACGACGGTATTTTCCTGTTTTCACATTTCGGGCTATATCCCTTTTTTTTTTTCTCGGTAATTCCACTCATTGCTGGAAACAAAACCAGGTCCAAACCAGGTCTAAACCAGGTCTAAACCAGGTCTAAACCAGGTCTAAAACCAGGACTAAACCAGGTCTAAACCAGGTCTAAACCAGGTCTAAATCCAGGAAACTAAACCAGGTCTAAAAACCAGGTCTAAAACCAGGTCTAAAACCAGGTTCCAAACCAGGTCTAAACCAGGTCTAAACCAGGTCTAAAACCAGGTCTAAACCAGGTCTAAAACAGGTCTAAACCAGGTCTAAACCAGGTCTAAACCAGGTCTAATAAACCAGGTCTAAAACCAGGTCTAAACCAGGTCTAAATCAGGTCTAAACCAGGTCCTAAACCAGGTCTAAACCAGGTCTAAACCAGGTCTAAATCAGGACTAAACCAGGACTAAATCAGGTCTAAAACCAGGTCTAAACCAGGTCTAAACCAGGTCTAAATCCAGGACTAAACCAGGTCTAAACCAGGTCTAAACCAGGACTAAACCAGGACTAAACCAGGTCTAAACCAGGTCTAAACCGGGACTAAACCAGGTCTAAACCGGGATTAAACCAGGACTAAAACCAAGTAAAACCAGGACTAAATCAGGACTAAACCAGGTCTAAATCAGGGGTAAACCAGGACTAAACCAGGTCTAAACCAGGTCCAAACCAGATCTAAACCGGGATTAAACCAGGTCTAAACCGGGATTAAACCAGGTCTAAACCAGGATTAAACCAGGACTAAAACCAAGTCAAAACCAGGACTAAATCAGGACTAAACCAGGTCTAAATCAGGAGTAAACCAGGTCTAAACCAGGATTAAACCAGGTCTAAACCAGGATTAAACCAGGACTAAAACCAAGTCAAAACCAGGACTAAATCAGGACTAAACCAGGTCTAAATCAGGAGTAAACCAGGTCCAAACCAGATCTAAACCGGGATTAAACCAGGTCTAAACCAGGTCTAAAACAGGATTTAACAGGACTAAATCATGCTGCATGGGCCGTGTTTCCTTCTCTTCTATCAGTAATATTTAAAATTTGGTTAAGTAAAGTCTGTGCTTTTTTATTTTCTTTTCGCAGACAAAACATCTTACGTTACGATATCCTCGTCTTTGCTTCTCTACAAATCAAGTAATCCATAGTATTCAGATTACGTTACTCACTTTAAGTAATTTAATGGATTATGTTACAAACTACATTTTGGGGTATGTAATCTGTAATCAACAAGCAAACACTGTCAATTAGTTCTTTTTATTGCAGAAACAAACACAAACATGGATTGGTATTGTGAACGGGCCCACGTCTGTACAGAATTCCTCGAGAAAAAGTTCCACAGTGCACCTTTAAGTCCACATAGGTACATCATCATGGCATTATTGAACCATCACATAAGCCTCTCTTTTGTGCAGTAAGTCTCCATCATATTGTTGCTATACCCCTTCTTAACGCGAGCAGTGAATTACACACACACTTCACTTTGGCCTTGCTATAAATACAGTGAGTATTTTTGCAGAGAAGTTTTTTGGCTCGTGGTGTTGTTAGTTTTATGAATAATGCAGCAGCGGATGTGGAAATAGTGCCTTGGGTGGCGAGCTGTGCGTTCTCTTTGATTCTCCACCTCAGCCCCCCCTTCCCCCCCACAAGAGCTCGGCTTATGGCACAGGGAAAAATAGATTCTGTCAAGTCGGGACGGAAACCGAATAGAAATCGTTGGTCAAATTGAGATAATTTGAAGACGCTATGGAAACAAGAGATTCGGGGGGGAAAAGATCTGATTTCAGCCCGGTGAGAAAATCGAGGTGGAGTGAATGAACTGAACGGAGCAGAAATGGAGGAGACGGATGGAGCGGCTGAGGAGGCTGGACGTTCTGCTGCTGTGCTGGAGATTGGGTGAAAGAATGTTGTTACTGAAATGGTTAGAGTAAGGCAATTCGTACTTAAAGTAATTCAAAGTGTTTTACAGAATAAGAAAGACATTCAAATCACAATACAAACAGATTAAAACATAAATAATCACCATAAAAGTAAGAAGAGAAGAAAGAGAGAGTGCATTTATATGGATTCAGAGGTGTAGAGGTAAAGTTAGCGGGCTGTGATTGGCTTAACATCAAAAGTCTGATCATAGAGTGTGTCTACATGCACATCAGTATCCCGGTTATGATCTGTTTTTTTGAGTATCCCGGTTTCTTCATGGTGCATGTATACGCAGTACTCCGGTTTCAGTATCCTGGTTATTAGGAACCGGGTTACTGTAGCTGGTTTATTCTGATAGTAACTGAGATACTGTGGCATGTAAAAGCAGTATCCCAGTTACTGCAACATGAAGTTGAGTGCGCATGCGTCCAAAAAGTCTTTTCACCACAACAGTAGTGACATAAATAAAGTGACCAACATAAATAAAGTGACCAACATAAATAAAGTGACCGTACATGAGTGAAATGACTGTGAAATAAAGAGCGGCGCTAAACCTGCACACGTACAGTCTGCACTCGTACGACCTGCATGTGTATGATCGCTGAAAAGCTAAAACATGAACTATCTCCTATATGATATACGCACAGACTTACCATCATTAGCGCCTCTTCTGTCACAAAAAGAACACACATAATCCACTGAGTCGTGTCCCTTAGTCCAGTTTATGCAAATCAGCCATGTAATCTTAAGTTTGGTTTCTGTAAAATGTAAACAAATGTGATCAAAGCTGAATTATATGATCAAACCTGCTGATGTGGATCTATAGTGTTTATGGTTTATATGTTGTAAAGTTGAGTTGAGTTTATTTATGCAGAAGATTTTAATGAAGAATCTTTTGATCTGTGCAGTGGATTGTGGGATATCTCGTAGCTCCTTACCGCTGGTTAAACCTCCCGAGCTTCCTCTGCTAAAGGAGCTCACGGTTTGTATTTTTCCTGGTTTATTAAATTGAAATTTAAGTAAATTTTTGTGCTTCCGCATTTGTAAGATTATGTCAAGAAACCGGGATACTACATTTGATCATGTATACAGGGATATGAGTGTCCCGGGATAGTGATGTGCATGTATACGCACTCATTGTCTGATTTTTGGACTTATCTACGGAAGCCGAGAGGGGTCACAACAAACGCAAACGCCGCAACAAATACAAATGCAACAACACAACAAAA